AGGGAGGATAAGAAAAAAAGGTAGAATTTTAATCAGTGTTAAATACACCAACAACAACAACAACAACGCACCCATATGTAAAGAATGTGTCTGAGCTCGTTGAAAGACAACTACGAAAGCACCAGATACAGATTGCGCACAAGCCGGCAACTACTTTGCGCACGCAGCTTGGATACCCTAAGAACAGGGTTGGCCATTTGAACAGAATGGCAGTCATGTACAGAATACCGTGTATCAGTTGTAATGCAGTTTATTGTGGTCAAACCGGACGAGCTCTATCTTGCGCATACATGAAGACCAGTTAGCGGTAAGGAGACGAGACCACCTATCGGAGGTTGTCATGCACATACTAGACACAGGACACGTATTTGCATGGAAGCAAACCCAAAGCGTTGGCGCCTGCCCAACAAGGAAGGGTCGAGAATTCCTGGAGGTAATGCACTCAGACGAGGCATGCATCAACAGGCATATCGACTTGGGTGTGAGCTACAAACCTCTCAATATCAGATGAAGCCAAAACAGCCACAACCGACAGCATAAGTAAGTGCGAGTGACAACTATTCTTCCCCTGACCGGATAATTACATACGGATGACAGCTAGTTTACCTACTGGCCGCATAATTCAACACTCGTGACAGTTATCTTCCCACACGCTAAACCACCGTAGAATCTTGTATTTAATCATCGTTTTGAGTTAGCTGCGTTTGCAACACTCTCATTTGCCTGACGGCGAAATGGGAAAACAGAATCAAAAGTGTACACAATAAACACTATTCTTTCCCAAAGGACTTTACCTTTAAAAAAAATAAAAGTGGCAAGACCAAGGGTAAATTGGTCGTAACTAGCATAACACAGCACGATTATCAGTGTGGCGTATAATTTCCGACATTACATGAGCAGTTTGATTCAGTCGCTGACACCAAGGCCGCAAAATACCCACTCTTTCCAGGTGTTTTTGCGGTAATTGGGCCCACGTCAACCACTATGTATACACACGGTCTGTGAAGTCCCATTATATAATGGCGTTCCTTCAAAATAGTAATTTTAACTTTTTGTATCACTTAATTTGACTTCCGCATCACGTGAATAAGGACCTATAACGAACCACTTAGGTCCTCCTGTGGTGCTAAACAATGCGTCTTTCAATCTTGTACCAGGCAATCAGTCCAGTGCGGCGGCGACTTGGTTGGGAATTTGGCCATAAACTTCCCGCTGCCTGCGAACCATACCTATTGCGACCTGTAATTGAAAGACCAAGGCCAAACAACTCGAGTGCTGGAGGGAAGTTTGGCTGAGCTGAATTAGATCAGCATGGCTGAGTCCTGCCTACGGATTTTGGATCAGGTAACACTGGAGCTGAAGAAACATATCAGCTACCACCAGGCAAAGTAGACACAGTGCCGATACAAGGGAAAATGCGATTCCCACGAAGTATTTGAGCAGAAGCAGATGCGGTCGCTGGGACAAGAATTCTATTCGCCTGATGTTTCGAAATCCATCGCTGATTCATCATCATCATCATCATCATCATCATCATCATCATCATCATCATCAT